TACAGGCAGTTACAAGGTAGATCAATGGAATTTACATCCTTCCTAACTCCTTGTGCAAGACACCAATGTGGGGCATCAAATTGAACAGTTGGTCCTTCGAGTTGGCCGCGACTTGAACTGGGTGCTTTTTTCCTTGATCGACAGCACTTTCGGGCAAAACCGGAAGACTTCAGAAAGGATCCTTGAGGCTGGCGAGTGACCAGTAGCATGAATCTTTCTTTTTCTAGAACCGATTTGATGACTCTTGTGATAGGAAAAGACCATGTTTTGGGTGGTTGGTGGTCTAACATAGAGGTCACAAGAAGGGATCGGCTGGTCGCCGGTGAGAACTTCGGCTGGTCGCTCGGCCGGTCCCATCCCGGTCGGGTCGAAGGAACTTCGGATCCAGGTCCCGGTACCGGTCCGTTTGACCTCCTCACTGGAGCTGGTCGAAGAACATGACTCCAGGAGACTGGAGGGTCGGACCTGGGCCAAGTAGGAGGCCGATGGAGCCGAAGGCCCCGTTTTTTCGGCGGCGTTCGTGTAAGTCGTGTTGACGTACACATCCTGGAAATATCATGACAGTGGATGGCACCAGCTATTTGTAGAGGACAATGGTCATGGCACCGGGGCCATCCCATCTATGTAACTATGATTTCAGGAGTGTAAGGGCCGATCTTTTCACCCCAAGGATTCCTTTGATTTGTAGCCCTCCAAAAGCCGTTGGATCTCTGAAAAACTCTGCACTTCGTCCGTCCTCTTTTCTTTCGCGGCCTCTTCGAGCGTGTCACCATTAGACTTAATTCTAGTTTAAATTCTATCTATTTCTTGTTACTAGTAGCTTCTTGTTCCTAGTAGTAAGGCCAGGAGCCCCTAATAGCGTCCTTGCTCCGAACGTAGCGATGCCCTTTGCTCCTAGTCGTGTCCTCGACCCTAGAGCTGTCGGTGTCGGCACCCCAATCACGGGCGGAAGGCTATGTGGGCTTCTTCGGCGATGCCTACGTCGCAGGGACCCCGTGGGCGTGGAGCGGCGCGAGGGTGAGTATTGGGACATGGGGAATGCGAGTACGTACAGCTCCTGGAAAAGATCCGAAAGGAGCATTCATGTCTGATTCAAGCATGGAGTGGCTCAGATAGAGCTTAATTCTCATTCATCACCAGCTGGAAAGGAAGAAGTATTGTCCCCCTTCGCATTGGTCTGGACAAGATGGATTCAAGCAGATGTTAGTTAAGAAGCGAGCGACGGTCGCAAGGACCTCGCAGTCTTTCCAAAAAGGTACCGTAGTAGTTTGTATGGAGAAATGCTTAATTTGTGTATCATATGCAGGCTGTATGCAGGCTGGAAGTGGGCCTTGTGAGGCCCTTTTGGTGTTGCGTTTCGAGTACACCCGTTTGCATGCACAGTGTGTCAGTGTGTCACCTGGACCGTTACTTGCAGCTTGGGGTCGTCGTGCTCAAGTGGTGGTCGTTGTGGTGGTGATGTTGGCTGAAACAAAACTTGACATGACATTTTTTGGCAAGCAATTTTTCTAGTTGGTCTACTGTATCATTGTTGCAAATGTCCATGGCCTGGAGACTTTTCTAGACACACACACACAGAGTCATTTGATTCGAACATGGCGACATTCGGCGACCGTCTGGAATCCACAGGCGACATACGGCCACCGTCAGACATGTTTGATGGTTCGCAGGACAGAGCTGGAGAACGGCCATTTGGGCAACTCTCTGCTGTTCTTGCAGCTTTTGCTGAAGAAGGTCGGACCTTCTGTTTTCAGCTCGTGAAAGGCCATTTGCAATCAAGAACCAGTGATTCATGCAACTGATGAGGTCAACGAAGCACAGGCAATGTCGCCCCCGAAATCGGATGAGTTGCACCGGTGCCGCGCCGGCTGGGCGCCTGATCGGTGCACCCCCATGGCCCGCTCCGCCTCGACAGGTCATCGAGCGTGGGACCTTGAGTGTGGCATCCAAGGGGTTTTTTTTCGAGAATCGATAGGAGAGTTGCGCGAGGAGACACGGTTTGTTCAGGGTGTTGCTGAATGCGAGAGGATCAACTAAGCCGCACGCAGCCGCAGTTATGTTATTGGAAAGGATAGGAAGCAATCCATTTGATGCAAGAGACCACTGGAGCAGTCTGTTGGTTTCTTTTCGTTCGCATGTGGCTGGGATCGACAGGTCCAATCGACACTGCACGGCTTTGAGAGGGGACCCGGATCTCCGGCCAGTCCTTTGTCTCACTCGCCAGTCCTTATAATAGGGATCAATGAGTGTATTCCGGGTTGATGATCTCATTGAAGACTGGGGACCACGAATCATCTTCCTGGATTTGGAACCCCTTCCAGCCGTCTGAAGCCCCACGTGATGTTGAAGCCAATGAAGCCAATGAAGCCACGTAGGTGCCGATGCCGGTGCTCTTCAGCGACTTACAGAGGTTCTGGCGAAGAGCGTCAGCGCCGCACAGCAGGTTGTTGGGGCCAAGAAGTTGCCGCTCAGCGAAGTCTTGGGGCGTCCTTGGGGCGTCCTCGGGCGGGTCTGGGCAGGGCCTGCAAGGTGAGGTGTCTGGGAAGGGCAGGGTTTTTTTGGCCCACCCAGCTTTGAAAGGTCAGATGGGGAGGCACTTCATCCTGGCTCAAGGGGAGGGACCGTCGAGCCGAAAGCCTTTTGGTCACAGGAGCCGAGAGCCTTTTGGAAGAAACGAGAGCTGCGTCGAGGGAGAACTGCTAGACGTGGTTCCAGATCCAGACTGGCACAAACTCCTTCTCTGCTCGATTCCTTTGAGATGGGAAGCTATATACTACAGTATATGTATACATTATTAATACATAAATACATATATATATATATATATAATATAAACCTTTGTAGACATTTGTCTTGGAATTTGCATATTCTGAAGTGTTCATCTAGCTTCATCGGATCCAATCTCATTTGCGTTGGTCTTAATCAGGTGCTCACAGCGTCGGGGTGAAAGGTCACGCAGCCCAGCATCAAACTGACAATTCTGTCAACCTTTGCCCTTCCAACCCCCACGCTTGGAACCGACACTTGCGAGGTTTAACATCGAAACCACACCCCAACCCTCCCCCTGAAATGGCCGGAGAAGGGCCGCTCTCCGGCCGCCCCTGAAAGGGCTGTTCACATCTAGGTCCGAGCTCCTGTTGCTCTTGAAGACGTGGACCCAATTGCTGTCGCAGCTGGCTCTCCGCGAACAGCTGCTCGCTCCCGGCGGCTGGCGGGGCAGTAGCACCAACTGGGCGGCTTGGAGGGGTGCGGGGGCGAGTGGTGCCGCGGCGCCGTGGTGGGAGATGTGCTTTATGACATATTTCTTTGGGGAAGAGGACTATCTCAAGGGCGTTTCTTTGGGTACTTGCTGAGGTCTTCTACTTTAGCAGAGAGAATTTGATCAGAAGAGTACTTAGCTACACCCTACCCACCGACGCACTGTGGTATGACCACGTGGTACGTGGACGACCACGGTGACCAACAAAGAAAATAAACAAAGGACTTCCATACATATGACTCATATGACTCATATTATGACAGAGATGTGTTGCATGTGTCTACACTAATGAAGATCAAGATAAGTGCATTTTGCTTTATCAAGATCACTTGACTGGTTTGAAAGGCCATATACTACTACATCTACTACACGCAGAAATGGGCCTGCAGTGCTTGCCACTCTTGAATGAACACCCTCCAGAACCAGGGGACTCCAGTGGCGACTTGATCCGGGTTCTATCTGACCGAGTCGGGGTGTTCCCCGCAAGAGTCCTTCGATGGGTCTGAGTCCTTCGCCTTGGAACAGTGATTCGTGCTGTTCCATCCAAAACAGTGAGGGGCCGCAGCCTTCTTCGAGAGTTCTGGCTGCAGCCTCCTAAGACCACCTCTTGCGAGCTGAGGTGGTCTTTTTGGTAGAACGCCGCTGGGAGTCAACCTGGGCGTGGGCGGTTGGGTGGGGGAGCTTCGCTGGGAGCCCGGGCCAGCTCATGGTTGCTGAGTGCTGGTCACCAGAGACTTGGGCAAAGCAGACTTGACGTTCCCCACAAGAACGTTCTTGGACTTGGGCAAAGCATGTTCCAGCCATCCGTGCGACGGAACGGCACAAAGGGTCAGTTCTAGTGCCCACGCGGGTTTTTAGAAGTACACCATCAGCAGACCGGCAGAATTTTCTTCTCTGGAAGTAATGTTTTGTGGTATTCAACCCCTCATACCACCCTGTAGTAGAGGCTATGCTGCCTTCTGCAGGGCCTGCTGCAGGTGGGTGCAGCGCCAATCATGCTTGTCAAGCATTGAGTCGACCACCCAGTTTGCCCGAAACCAGCATCAGAGCGACTGTCCCCACGCGTGCCAATTGACCGTGACTGATGCGATGGGGCGTTGTAGGCAACACCATTTTCTGGACTTTAGAAGCTGTGTGACTTGAAGATCACACAGGTCTGTAGCTGTTTTTGTGACATGATCTCAGGCATCAGCCAGGACATGTACTCCTTCACAGTCTGCAATCGCGGGCCCGCTGCAGCACAGTGCTTCGCCTCAAGCACAGTGAAGGGTGACTGTCCTCTTGAAAGTGGCAATACAAAATCAATTTCGAAATCCATCAGACAGACTACCTTCTCGATTATGATACACTGGTGTCATGTTTACTCGCCCTGCGGCTGGAGTTTGTTTTTGTTTTTGCCTTGTGGTCCGATTGGTTTTGCATAGTATTGCACACAGGTCCTAGATGCCCTGAAACCAACATGGACACGGAAAATGGTCCCTGGACAGTTATTTCTACCAACAGCTAAACCACGACCAGACAAAAATTTCCCCAAACAAAGCGCATCCCTCAAAATAACAAAGGGGATCTGAACGAGTATGGAAGATGATTTTCCTCTATGAGTTGTGCTCTATCAGTTACGATGTTCATATTTGAAGGGCTAGGTTTCCCTATGCAAACCAGCTTCCCTATCTTCCCACCTCCACTTCCCAGCGAACTGGGTTTCCCATCCCACCGAACTCCAAGCGTGGGTGCTCGTGGCATGGCGCCGCTTCGGCGTATGGCCTCGCTTCGCTACCTTCAGGTATCATCCTACGAAGTTCATCCCGGATGGCCTCTATGGTCTCCTCGAGTGGTTGAGGAGGAGAAGGGTGATGGCTCAACTTGGTTGGTTGCCAGAGTGAAACACTCCCGAGGAAGACCCTGGCCCTGCGGCCGTCCCAAAAAGTACGGATTTGGGTGGATCGATGGTGTTCCGAATCGGGAAATGATCGGGTGGTGGAGAGATTCATCATCAATGTGTACACAGACATCTGGAGCCTCTTATCTCGAGTTGTTGCATTTCTTGATTGGACTCAAAAGGCTTGAGTTTGTCGCCAGTTGGAAGGTGCTGGTGATTTTTGATGTGGTTGGAGAAATTCGTATGGATGAAGGTTTGAAGCAGTCGAGAGTGGATGAAGGTCTTCACATCTCGATTTGTAAGTCTAGAAAGACCATCCGTCACATTAAGCACCCTCCCTCCAACAAACATAGAAGTGGAACGTGCGACCTGGAAAGACGATTTTCCTTGACGAACAGGGTATTTTTTCACTTCCATGTTTGTTGGAGGGAGTGTGCATGGAGTGGCTAATCACCAACCCTGCTTGGGGAGAAGCACTTTCTACGTCTGAACACAACCAATCACAACGAGACTGCACTGATGACCTATGAGCAAGATAGGATGAAGGGAATGGTTCCCCCCGTAGCCGTCCCCCCTTTTGGGCCGTGCGGGAGGTAGGCCATAGTAGGCCTATGTAGCTAGTAGTAAGGGATAAGTAGTACTTTAAGTAGCTTCCACTTAGGGCGCAGAAGGGCTCAGGCTTCTTTGGAGGAGGGAAGCTTCCTTGAAGAATCCTCAGGCTTGATGATTTTGTTCCTTGATCTCTTGGAAAACTTGACTTAAGAACAAATTCCACAAATCGACCTGTAGTCGTAGCAGATGCTGGCCACCATGCTGCCGATCAACTGTACTGGTTCACACTTTCAGAAGTCAACGCCAATGACTTGATACGCCAATGACTTCCTCACAATCAAAAACTCCCACTGGCTGCAGCGCCTCGAGGTCAGAAGATGAAGATCCAGGCCACGCTCACCTTCCAGGTGCATCGTCAACACCTCTGCGACCCAGGCTTCTGGGCCATGGCCTTTGGGCAATGGGTCCCCAACGCCACGGAGTATCACCGCGCGGAGGTGCCCGAGCCGCCGGTCGGGCTTCGGGTGGTCGATCCTCCGGGCTCACCGCCATCTGGGAGTCGCTCCAGGACTGTCCTGCTCCACCAGGACTGACCGCTCTGAAGGTACGCGACTCTTCATCTCCAAGACCAGTTACTTGCTCCAAGAACTCCGAAAACCCTTCAGGACCAAGTGGAAGAGGTTGAGGTGCACAACTGAGGTGGGGGTGGTCCTCCAAGAGGTTCTTCCTTGAAGCCTTCTCCTTCCAGGCAACCTGCGACTTTTGTGGGGCTCTTTCGAATTGGACATGGATGCAGCTCAACAAGTGTGATGTATCTATCACTTTTCCAAGGCACTCACCCTTCATTGGACCTTCAAGTCTGGAGTCTGGACCCTTTACTTCCTGACTGCTTGACCTTCTCTTATTCTTTAGCCACTTCCTACCCAGTCAGAGGAAAAGTCTGCCAAAGTGTCTTTTTGGGTTAATTGATTCGGGACACTGGGGACACCCCAAGATCCACATGAACAAGGGGAAAGTCTGACATTGTGACATCGCTTCGCCTTGGAGTCTGGATTGCATTTACACTGTGATGATGTCAGTCAGATGGACGTGGATGGCACCCACTGTTTCTGGAGGATTCCGTCGTATTCCAAGGGACCATGCCACCCACGTAACCATGTCAGTCAGAGTGTGCCTTCCTCGATCTTCGTGTGCGTTCCATGGTTCCTCCGTTTTCCTCCACACCAGTCATCACGGTGGTCCTTGGTCCTCGATCCTTCCGGGTCCTTTTTAGGGAGCAAGAAAGGATCGACTAAAGGAGGAAGGAGTGTTTCCTTAAAATTGCACGTAAAAGGATCGACTCTTGATTCTGATTCACACCCCCCGAGATGGAGAGGTTTTTCAATCCATGTCTGGCAAGGTGCAATATAGTTCTAAGAGTCTAGCTTCAAGTTGGTCAGCCTTGGAAACACATCCCTAGGGCTCCTGGTGTACCTTTTCAGAAGGTATTTGGACCCACCTCAGTCCCGCCTTCTCTGAAGGTACGACTGGAGCCCGTACGGGCATAGAACAGCGAAGACGATTCGAGCCATCACGATTCGTCGTCAGTCTGAACAGTGCTCAAAAGAGGTGGAGGTAGAGGTGCTTTTGGAAGATCCAGGACTCTTTTGGGACCTTCGACAGACGGAACTTTGAGATCCCAAGAAGAGGTGACATTTGCGACTCCAGCTCGACGCTTGTTCGTGACAGAGACGGTCCTTCAGGATGACCATACTTCGATAGGTCACCGTCCTTGATCGCCCACAGAGGTGCTCTATGACGTGTTATTGCCGTGGTTGGCGGGCGTGTCCTTTGGCCGTCTCACTGAGAAGTTGGAGACTCCCAGTGATGAGGGCAGGTGGCGTACACCATGTGACTCGGTGAAAGGGGGTGGGCTGGGCACGGGGGGATGGTTTGGATGCGCCAAGTGGAGCTCAGATCATGAACTTCTGTGTCCAGGGTTTTTGTAAAGCAAAGCAACGATGAATGTTGTGTTTGTATCGGCAAGTGTGACTCTCTTCAACAACCACATCCATCCTCGAAATGGAATATCGGTTTGTATTGGTTTTCATCCTGGATTTAGCTGTCAACCCTTGCATCATGCATCCATTTTTGTACTGTACTCTGCGAAAGGTAGGACAGTGAGTGAAACTCCTCAGAAAAGTGGCAGCACAGAGCTGTTCCAGCTATTGTGGGACCACCATAGTATGCTTCTGTTGAAGGAGCAGGGATTACTTCTCACATCGGACGTGAGAACAACCGCAGTGTGCGGGTCCAGCGTAGGTTCACCGTCGACATCGACTGAGGGAATTCAAACTGGCTGGGTGTCATCTACCGATTTTTGTGGTGGTACCCCTAAAGTTGAAAGCCTGAGTACCAACGGGTCAAAACCATTCGTTTTCTGCGCCCGTCCTCCGGGGGTGTTGTCTTGGTCCTGCAGGTCGATCGAATACATCTTGCATGAAGAACTTGCTGGAGGCACCGGCCGTGCGGCTTCCGCCCAGCGGCGATGCTTCGGTCGCCGGTCGCGGTCGGTGGCAGCGGGTGGTGGGCGGGTGGGGTTCGGCGGGTGGTGGGCGGGTTTGGGAGGTCTGGCAGATGCACGTCGGGTGCTGGGAGGAGTTCTCTTTCCATGGTTGAAAGCTGGTGCAATTCAGAGTTACTTTGTCCTATGAACCCCCGCAGCTCAGGGTTTTAACAAAGGCCTGCCAGACAAGGATGAGAACTTCTACAAACCTTCTACAAACTGATTAGAATTGCATGAAACCGGCCCGGGGGTTCCTCTTCTTGTGTGCTTTGACTCCAGTGGACAGTTGGGGGGTCGGAATGGAATGCTCAGGGGCTGAAAAGGTCGGCCGGTGGTCTTTGAGTGGTTGGTGGTGGCCTTTTTAGCACCATGGAGTTCGGGCGGTCTATTTTTGGATACCCCCGACTGCTGTATTGTCCCCTCCAATGTTTCACCGAGTTCTTTTTTTTGCGTAGACGAGCCGATCGTAGACGATGGAGTCGGCACGAGGCAAGTAACTGTGCTGTGGGAATCGCCAGAGTCTGTGCTGAAACACCTGCACCGCCCCCAATCAGATGAGTTTGTTGATGCACCCCAATCGCCATCTGCACAGCCAGGGCCTGCGCCATTGCGCGCTTCGGCAGCAGTTGCCGTGGCGCTCGCTGTTGGCCGCGCTGCGGCGGGAAGCCATGCTGCTGGGGGCGGAGGAGAGATTTTTTGTGTTCTCGTTCTGAAGGAAACGCGTGGAGGACAAGTGCGTGGTGGGCTTGGGGATTGGATTCTGACATGGAGGGGGAACAGTGAGTTCTTTTCCAGTGTGAGCAGTTTATTGCTGTGAGAAGAGGTTGGGAGGATGATATAGTTCCAGCTTCGATGTGGAGTTTTTAAGGCTACAGATGCTACAGCGGAGCGGAGCTCTCGAGCCGGCTGACCAGACTTGGTCCGAACAGCCCGGTGAAGGTGGGCATGAAAAAGGCCGGCCACGACGATTCTTCTGTCTGTGGAATAAATGGTCCGAATGAGCAATAAACAGTTCGTGAGAATAGTGACCTCATGCTTTGTGAGACCAAACAATGCGTTTGCCGAGCTTGTAGTTCAAGGTCTTGAAGAGTCTTGTTCATGAACTTTACATAATTCAGTTCTTAGACCTGGTCAAGGTGCGGAGATTCCCGGTCAGGGTGACGCTGAGAGCTCATGAGGGTTCAGGAGACGGTGGCATGAGAAGAAACGAAAACGTGAATGAGGAGATGATGGAGCGCTTGTTCTGCTTCGAGTGTTGTCGGGCCGCCTGGTCCGCCTTGTGAGATTCCCCAAATGAGGAAGACCTCTTTGGCCAGAATCCTAAAGCTTCCTCAGCCGAACCATCAATGTTCATTCCAATTGATGAGTTTCAAGCTTGGGCATACTTCCAACTTCTGCTTTGCAGTAATGCCACTACGGCACAGTCTTTCGTCCAAGCTCTAAAGGCTCACGCATTATTTTGCTCCCTGGGTTGGTGAGTGAGAGACAGTTAAAGCCGTCCGCAGTATATTCAAAGATGTTCGTCGCATGACTTTGAGATTACAAAGTCGAAGACATCCAAGCAGCTTTCAGTCGACAGTGACAAACTCCTTGTTAAGGAGGAGCGTCCGTGCCTCAGACCAGATCAATACGAGGCCCTTAGACGACGTGCTGTTGCATTTGCATTTGCAGACGTGTCCAGTTGGTCTCGCCTTGAACAAAATATTCAGCTGACCTCTCGCTTCGGAATGACCCACCTCCATTACAGCCGCCCAACACTGCAGCGGATGGTGAAGGCAAATCGACAAGTCTTTCTTCAAATGATCCGAGATGATGTTGGAGTTTGACGTGATGAGTCGAACCTACTGCCGATGGACACACTCATCATGAACGCTCTCCAAAGCTACGAAGTTTGTTTTTTTACCTTCTCCCATTGCCCAAGGTGCCAGCAAAGGATGCTGCAGCCACTCCGATCAGGCACCAGAAAGGGCAATGCCGCCCATACAATAGGCGGAGAAGGGCAAGGGGCAAGGGCAAACATGGCAAAGGGCAAAACCTCAAGCAGCTTCAAGGAAGAGACCATTTTTCCTCAGATCCTCATGGCCGTCGATTGTGCTTCAAGTATATAGATGTTTTGAAGACGTGTTCAGGAGCTGCTGATGGAGCCCAGTGTCAATCTGGGTGGAGCTGTGCATGCACCGTGGATGTCAGGCGTTGCATGTTGAGGCTGGTCATGATGAAGCCAAGGTTGACTTGTATAAGCCGCGTCAGGAGCTTGCAGCTTCTGGTGCGGATTTGTCAGAATGCTTAGTGATAGAGATCTTTTCGCGCACTTCTCGAGTCTTAGCCTGTTAAAAAACAAGTTGGACTAAGAGTTGCCTTGGAGTTGATCACATCCGATCAAAGAAGGTTGCATCCCAGGTAGTCATTGCGGACTTAGCTACTCGTCTTTTGTGGGAGTGGCTTGTAGGAATGTTTCTTGCACCACCCTTTCTGAACAGGAAAAGATGGTCGCGAGGTGCGGGACCGCTTCACACAGATGAGTGATGTCCCAATCTGACGGAGTTTCATAGAGTTTCTATTGCAAGTGAACTTCATCAGCCGAAATAGTCACATGCTCTGTTGACACTGGTTGTGTGTGGAAAAGCCACAGTACAGTCTCTTTTGTGCGACTTCCTTTTGGACATCCGTTGCCCATCGGTTGAAATACAACGTTTTTCATTCATGCCAATATGGCAGCGCAAGTTTGAAGCGTACCATGCTTGCGTTTAATTCCAACGAGTTCTTCGCTTTGCACAAAAGTGCACTGGTTTTTCTTCCACTCACCACCATAAGCTGCATTGGGGTTTGATTGTGTCGCGCAAAAGTTTGCCACTGCGACCGAGACCGCATATTCGATGTTCCTGGCTAGGTGCTTTGCAAGCGCATTTGCATTGGCCTTCACAAATGTAGGTGTTCGGCCAGAGTTCATGTGCAGGCTACAGCAGCGCCGGGTTGAGCTCGCCCTCCTCCGTTATGGTGGAAGCTTTCGAAAGTCGCATTGCATCAAAGGGTTCTCAGCATCTTGCCAGGAAAGCCAACGTGCCGTCAACCTGGCCTATGCCTTGGAATTGGACGCTGAGGAGGCTTGTTCGGATTGACTAGTGGAGGAACCCTGTACAGCCGACCCCTGAGCCTGGGTCGTGGGGCATCAACGTCCCCTTACAGAGAAAAAGTTGCGGTGCGAGGGTAGTCGAGCGAACATGAATTCTGTGTAAGTGTAAGCTGTAGCAGCAAAGGATTTTTTTGCCAGCTTCTTCAAAGTGACCTTTGTAAACCGGTGACCTCAAACCAGGGGAACAAGTTGAGTCACTTTGAAGAATGGGGAACTCCTTGGATCCGTTTCAAAGTGTTAGGTGACTCCTTGGATTCCCCTTGGAGGTGCTAAGTTAAGGGTCCGGTGTGGTAGCCCCCTTCGTGGGGATCCTTCCTGCTGGGCTGCTTGTTATAGCGGAGCACCTCGGTGGTGCTTCTTCAGGAGCTTTCCTTGCTGAACCGAAGCTCCACCCCGCAGGCAGATGAACTGTCGCACAGTTTGATCTTGGCTTCCCCAATTGGAAATTGTGCAAGTATTGTTTGGACCAAAAGAAAACTGCGCACTTTATTTAAGTTTTTGTTTTTTTTGACTTTCTTTATGTGGCAGAACTGAAGTTGGAAGATCTCACCCGTGGAAGCAGCACTTCGAATGACCCTTTGCCCAACGCGCCAAAGGCACAGGCGGCCATGGGTTTGTTGGCCGCCTACCGTGCCGCGCCCCCGCCGCTGCGGCCAGAACAGCTCCCCCGGGCCCCGGCTGCCAGCTGCCAGGAGGGGAAAGGGTTTTGGCACTGCCGAGATCGCTGTGGAAGTCGCACGAAAATCAGCCTTGATTTTTGATCCACTTGGTGGGAGAAGTCACGCTTGATGAGTCGCGCTTGATGCCAGGTGATAGCGCTTTTCTTCTCAGTTCCCAATGTGGATGAGCTGCACAGGCTGGTGCTCGGAAGGATGCGTAGGAAGATTTGGTAGTGAAGGCATCAAATCAAACCACCGAAACCCTATCAAAAAAACGTAGAGTAGAATCTTTAGACGGTTGAACCCCCCCCCAAAAAAAACCTTCAGGCCAACTAATGTAAACTCTTGATTCATCAAGGCCCCGATGAAGAGGTTTACAGTCAAAATGGGGTTGGTGTTCTTAATCAAGAGTCTACATTAGCCCTTGTTGATGTGCTTCAGGTCTCGCAATTGCCCTCAAGACTCCGAAGCTCGGCAAACTTTTTGCTCTCGCTCCAATCTAAGGTGTCGTTGGCACCTGCCGAAATGAAAGGACGTTCCTCTTCAGATCTTCTGATCCCCGAAATGCAGCCAAGAAAGCTTCTTCAGTACGTGACCGGAACTCTGTTCAGTCCCATCCGGTGACTCTTCTTGGGCCTAACGTAGTGACCT